TTTGTTTTATGATAAGTATTGATAAACCCTTATGTTTCATTATTTTTTTCTTTGTACTTCTAGCTCGATTGTAAAAAAAAAAAGTATACCGAAAATTGCTTAGTAATTCCCGCAGCAAAGTGCGGGACACCTAGTTTAAAATATAAGCACCGGTATAACTACAGTTTATAAAACTAGGAAGGTAGCCCGCGCATTCGCGCAGGCATGTATCGTAGGTTGCATTTGAGATACTCGTAAGTAATAGGCTGATTGTGTTAAAATGTCGTATTTGTTATATAGTAAACTATAGGCATATGAATCTTATATCATTGGTTTGATTATAAACAGAGCAATAGTTAGATTAGAAATCAGACGTAAAACTTATAATTATAGATTATTTATATTTTAGTTAAATAGGAACGTAAGAGGAATGAAAAGTGTAGAGCTTGAGCCAGAGAGGGGAAGGAGCGGGTGTGTAGTGATGGGCGCTTGTGGAGGGGATTTTTTTTGTAATTTTTCTAAGTGATTAAGTGAAAGCCAATTATTAGATGTAATTTTCCTAAGATTTGCAAGATTTTTTTTTAAAAGATGTGACATGCCACTTATTAAGATATATTTTTCTAAAAGTAGATTATATAGTTGAAAATAATGTTAATAGGTTATCGATCTAGGTGAAAACCGTTAGCTAGATGTTTTATTTTTTTCTTTTAATATATAAGATTTTACTAATTTTTTAAATGTGACACTTGGTAATTTAACATGTCTCTAAAAGGTCATACATGGTGACTTTGTATTTTTCTAATTTTTATTATGTAGAATGATTAAGATGACATAATATATATTGTCAATTTTTTAATGTTTCAGTGTTGTTTGCTTGTTGGTCTATGTTCAAATTACGTATTTTAAATTTTACATAGTAAAATATGAGTAACATAAATCAACAATTCAAATAAATTAAAAATAGGATGTTATTTGGGTTGTCAGGTAAAGAATAGGTGGAAATTCAAATAACATATTTTATTTTTTATAGTGAAATATTGGTAATATTGATTTTAAATTATTTAGCTGTCTAATTATGAAACAACCGTTCAAACAAACTAAATAAAAACAGATATACTACCTCCGTTTTATATTATAAGTCATTTTGACTTTTTTCAGTGAATTTTTAAGTTTAACCAAGTTTATAGAAAATATAGTAAAATTTTCAAAAAAAACATATTATGGATATATATGGAACGTTATATCTAACAAAACAATTTTGTGTGATAGATGTTGTTAAATATTTTTATATATTTGGTCAAATCTAAAGAAATTTAATTAAGAAAAAAGTTAAAATGGCTTATAATATGAAATAGAGGGAGTAACTTTTTAAAATTATGATTATTTTGCTATGTAACTATTATCTTTTTTCTAAATTGTTAGTTAAAAATAGATTTATTATTTATAAAAGCATGCATCAGATCATTAATCATTTATATATTTAGGCATGGGACATGCAATCAAGAATCCACGGCCATTCTCGTGAGATAGAAGTGAAGAAATTAATTATTAAGTAATAAAACAAAAATCTTAACTACCATAGAGAAAAAAAAAAGAAAGAGATGAGGAGAAAGGATTGTGGGGAAGGAGATGAGAACGCACGGTAGTAGTTGAGGAAGGATTTTTTTATGAGATAAATCCAATTGGCCCACCAGTTCAAGTTATATATTTTTTCTAATTTATTGGAGTGCCACGTGGTGGCTTAGGAGTGTTTATAAGAGTCTCATGTGGCAACTTAAGAGTGTTTATAGGAAGTTTAATCGACTTTTAGTATATAATAATAGATAGATCGATATATAGATATATTATATGTTGTTAATAAGTATTTAATTTATTTAGATGGCATGCAAACTTGCAAAATGCACAGTCTATACCACAATAACATATTGCTTATATATAGCAAAACATTGGATGTAAAATTGTCAATTTAATTATAAATAGAGCAATGTTTTAATAGAATATAAATTAGCTATGTACATTTAAATTATGGTCAACTTAACTCGTTTTTAATTTGATAACATAAAATAATTAGGATAAGAAAGAGATGGAGATATAAAAGAATAGGAAGAGGAAGAGACAGGAAGAGCGTACTACTTTCTTATGTTTTTTTCTTTTTCCGGCCCACGGTTATACGAAGCCACACGTAAGTAAGTACGGACGTTTTTTTTTATAATTTTTTTTTCTTTTTCTGGCCCACAGTAGAGGAAGGGATTACTTTCTTAAATAATAATAGATCTAATCAAATGGTCTAAAATATCGGGTCTACCAATTTAAGTGAAAATCGACGGTGAGATTATATAGTGCCATGTGACGGTCTAGGAGTGTTTGTAGGAGTGACACGTGGCGGATTGAGAGCGTTTGTAGGAAGTTTAATGGACTTTTAGTATATAATAGATAGATTTCATAGTATACTTGTCTTTTTATCAACCTATCACTCATTCAAATTTCTTTTCGTTTTAATTACAATATACTCTCATATTACCCGTAGTTCAAAAAAAAAAAAACGATTACCCGGTTCACACTCCGCATACATGAATGATCGATTAATTTGTCGATCTAGGACTAGGAGCAGAGGGTAATCGCAGACTTGGCCACTAGCTAGTCAACGACGACGAGACTAGTACGCTTGTCGGCTTGTGTCCATTCTTGCAGCTCCTACCGCCGTCAAACCCGGCGTGCGGTTGGTGTCGATGAAGGGAAATTTAACTATTCACCACCACTCATGTGACATCACAATTAACGATTTGTCACACCCTGTTAATGATATGTGGGCCCTTATATATCTATGACATGTGGGACTAGTGGCAAATCGTTAAGCAACATCCGTAAGAGTGGCAAATAGTTAAAAGCCCCGTGCATGAACTGCCAACTGTCGCTATTAACCACCTTCTACGTCCACAAAAATAAAACATGGCAAATATTTCTTAAGCAAATTAAGATTGGTATAAAATTATTTCACTGCCCATGTTAATAAATCCCTGGTTGGCAGAAATCATATATAATGGAAATTAAAAGATGAATAATTGGCTAGCACGAAGTAATTAAAAATGTTTATAATTAACTTATATCTATAAATTTCCAATGCTACAGATGTTTATACTACCTCCGTTTTTTAATAGATGACGCCGTTGACTTTTTCTCACATGTTTGACCATTCGTCTTATTCAAAAAATTTACGTAATTATAATTTATTTTGTTATGAGTTGTTTTATCACTCATAGTACCTTAAGTGTGATTTATATCTTATACATTTGCATAAATTTTTTGAATAAGACGAATGGTCAAACATGTGAGAAAAAGTCAACAGCGTCATCTATTAAAAAACGGAGGGAGTATATTCGTAGACGTGTAGAGTACGCAGCACAGTATTTAGAGCTCCTTGGACAGACAAGTCAGTTGCCGCTTCTGTTTGACTCGTGCAGACCTGCATGGACCCTTGGTGGTTTGAGTGACATGTCAAATTAAGCAGACCAGCAGCATACCAGTACCTACTACTTTCTCGAAAAAAAAAATTAAAAATATACCTCTTTTTTATTGGTTTTATATAAATATACATGTTTATGAAGAATTTACATAAATATACCATTGTCGCAGAATAAAAGTGCGAGACTGAGCGAATTACTCGATCTCGCGCGGTAGGTGTGCGAGACCGCTCGGTCTCGCGCTGTGAGTGCGTGAGACCGCTCCTTCGTTTCCATAACCACTGTATTTGTGTGAGTAATAAATTAATTAGTGTCATTAGCAGTTAATTAATTAATTATTTTTTATTTAATTAACATCATTAGTAATTAATTAATCATTAATTATACGTTAATCATGATCCATGTCAGGCCATCTCGCACGCTGCTCAAGCGAGATCGCTTCTTGTTTTGCTGTCACGCTGGTCCCGTGTCCTGGTGTTGCGAGACCGTGCGGTATCGCTCCAACAACCTGTGAGACCGTGGTCTATCGTCACGCTATCGTTACTTTCGCTGAATGAATCAGCGATATTGTTTTGCTTTCGCACTTTCAATCAGCGACTATGGTATATTTGTGTAAAAAATTTTACATCCCGAATATTAATGAAAAAAAAATGAATGAATGGTATATTTTAAAATTTGATTCTTACTTTCTCCGTATTATTTTCACACAATTCTTTATTTAAATTCATTAACACCTATATAAACACCTATATAAAGAACATATATAATATACGAAACACATATATGCATCCGTTCAAAATGTAGACTGGAATTTATAGTGCAAAACCAGGGAAAAACTATAAAAAAAAACGAAACTAAAACTGAATGTAGCATATATATATATATATAGTAGTATAATGTCATGTGCAGTTTTAGATTTGTTTTTTTAGACTGAGAGAGTACCACCAAACCAACCATATGCGTTCGCGCACGACAACGACAGATATACGACTTTTACTATACGGCTATACGCCTCTCTCTCTATCAGGGGCGGTACCACCCATTAGGCGGGGTTGGGCGGCCGGCCCAGCTACGGCCCGCGCCACCCCAACCCTCCATATCCTTTTTAGGCCGCCTACCACCATATCCAATTCACAATTGACCCATAAATAAGCAGTCCAAGTGTCCAATTTTAATCCTGCATATGTAATGCTTTCCTGAGTCAATTCCTCGACACTGCTCACCCCCGTCCCCTACTATAGTTAGCTGCCTAATGTTTTTCTCTCTCTCTCCCTTCTAAGCAAAATAATAATCATCTTATTCTGGGTATGCGATATCTTCTCATATATTTATTTTTTAAAAGATATCTATCAACCATGCTTTATGAATTGACTCATATTTGCAAATTGATATGTTTATCTTTTTATGTATGATGAATTATGTATGGCGCAAAAATTATTACTTTATTTTTAATATCATTTTTGTTTTTGTTTGCCTTAATTTATTGTTTATACTATATATTTATATGATTACAACATAAATATGGTATTTTTTGCGTTTAGTTGTTCTTATTGAGACGAGCATCTTCGCCTCATCTTTATTTTAATCTTGCGTCCGCCACTGCTCTCTATGAATATCGATTATCCATGTTGCCTCTATAAATAATAATGACCCGGCACGAAATGCTGGTATCAGATATGAGCAGCGTGCAGATCGTTTGAGCAGCTAGCAACAAATTACAAGAGGGTGGTAGCTAGGCAGCTAGCTAGTTAGGCCGGATGGCGCGGCTGCAGCGACGACGTCTCGTGCTGCCGCTCCTGCAGCTCGCCGTGGTGCTCTGGTTGGCGGCTACCAGCGGCTGCTTGTGCCGCCGGCCGCCGACCCCGATCGCCGGCGTCCCGTCGCCGCCGATTCTGCCGGACGGCGACCGGACACCGGAGTCGCCTCCAGGTGATCAGAGATTCATTTAACCATCATATATACATGCACCTATACGCAGCTCAAGCTAAATTTCAAAGCCCATTGCGCGCATGAGCAAATCAACTTATATATTATCTTACTTTTCAAATATATCTGAATAACTTGTCGTTTAATTATTTGTCTTATTTAGAAGAACTATATGTAAATGTCGTCTAATTTCCTCGTGGCTTGTTTTATTATAAGGAATATAAATAACTTATAATTTTAATATCTGTATTTAATTTGTGATAATATGAATATTCAAACACCATCACAAATGTATAAATTCAAAAGCAAAGAGAGATTATTTGTTAATCTTAATTTGTGCGACATAATAATAAATAAATACATGTGACGATATATTGACGCAGTTTGCTTTTTCCCTTGTTTTGCAGCTCCCGTATCCGCAAAACACCCGAACTTCTCGGTCCTTCCGCCGCCGGGCTGCTCGCCGGATTGCACCGACCAGCAACGTCAGCCTTAATTAGTTAGGGACTATCAACGACGTACGTTCAGCATATATACTCTGGTTGCAAACGTGTAATTATATAGTATGCTCTGTAAGTTCGTTCCGATTTCAAATGTAATGCAATTTAGCGCATTGTATATTTGTATTCTCAACTACTTGTAAGTGTAATTTCTATTGCTAGTGTAAATGTACGGCCGAGCGATCAGACTTGGCCGCTAGCTAATCAACGACGAGACTAGTACGCATGCAACTCCTACCGCCGTCAAGCCCGGCGTGCAGTTAGTGTGCATGAACCTGCGCTATTAACCACCTTCTTCGTCCACGAAAATAAAACATGACAAATATTTCCGATAATGCTTTAAATCGAACGTTTGATACGACGAAATATCGGACGCACCACCGAGTGGGTCCCACCTAACCACTTTCCCACCTTTTTCTCTCTACCGGTCAAACTTATCTCTATCTCAACCACTCATTCTTCTCTCTCTCCCCTCAACACGAGTGTTCGTGGTTTCGCCAGGAAGAAGGAGCATGCCAGCGGCCACTATGGCTAGGGGTGGAAACGAGCCAAGCCGAGCCAAGCTCGGCTCGGCTCGTGAAAGCTTGGTAAAGAACAGGCTCGGCTCGGCTTGATAAAGAGAACGAGCAAAAAATGCAGCTCGGCTTGGCTCGTTTCAAAGCTCGAGCCAGCTCGAGCCAGCTTGTGATGCACAACAGCAAGTAAATACTTCAACAATAGTGCAATCAATTTTCAGCAAGTTAACAGCAAGTGTGCATTACAGATTCTATTTACTACACAAAACATATGGCTCGAATTAAGTATAGTATATTAGTGTAGGTATAACAATTTTGATCTATTTGCCTCAACCTTTCTGTGATTGAATCATTGATAATAGCACACACTGCACACATACACATCAATTCATCACGCATATACACATCAATTCATCACGCATATACACAGCTACTGAGAAATGAATCACAAAAATCAGAAAATACATCACGAACCTCTTCATCCTAGGCTCGTCGCTGTGTGAACTGTCGTCGATCGGTTGGCGTCTCGGCGAGGTGATGGACGGCGTCGACCGTCGAGTCAGGGACGCGGGTAGCACAGGAGAGGGAGGCCGAAGGCGGTGCAGGGTAGAGAGGCGGCGCCGCGACGGCACTGGGGTCGAGCGTCGCTGGGCGGCTGGGGAGGGAGGCCGGAGCCAGCGCAGCCGCGCAGGGCGCAGGGGAGGGAGGCGGCTGGCTGGCGGAACTGAGGCTGCCGCGTCGAGCGGCGCGCCGGCGCTTCTGCTAGGGACTGGGAGGGAGGCGGCGGGCCAGCGGCCGGCAACTCCTTGCGCCGCCCAGAGGGAGGGACTCGGTCTCGGTGCGATGGAGTAGCGGCGGCGACGAACTGGGAAGTGGGAAGGGGAATAGTTTCTGTAGCAAGGGAAGGTTAGGGTTTTCATTAGGCCTGGGATGGGGAATTGTTAATGGGCCAAGGTCATTTTTTCACCAGCTTGACAAGCCTACCGAGCGGCTTGTGAGCTAGCTCGGGCTCGGCTCAATTTACAAACGAGCTCTGGAGGCAGCTCGGGCTCGGCTCGTTTTCTTTTCGAGCCAAGCCGAGCTTTGCGAGCTCGAGCCAAGCCCGAGCCGAGCTCACGAGCCCGAGCTTTTTGTCCACCCCTAACTATGGCGGTGGTGGGGCGGCACGACGCAAAAAGGGAGGAGAACACCGGCGACCATGCTAGTGGCAGCGAAGAAGGCCGACACGAAAGGAAGGACCGGATAAGACATTGGACCTTTGGTGTCGGCAGAGTAGCCGCGAGCCCACGATGCGAAGGAGGTCGCGCGACTTGCCCTGGCAAGGTCGCCCTCCTGCATCGCTACTTGCCATGGTCCACGTGACCACGTCTACACCATGCCAATCGGTTGATTCCGGTGAGCGGACTTGAAGAAGATAGAGGTAGGCGCTGCTAGGGAATTTTAGATGTTGTAGCTTGTTTGTTCTATTAAGTTGTTTCATTTCATTTTAGTGAAGTTGGAATTTTAGTGATGTTGCAGCTTATTTGTATTTTTGTTGCAATTTGTTCTATTAAGTTGTTTCATTCCGTTTTGATTCATTGTTACATAAATTAATTTCTTGGTGTTACAGTGAGTATGTTTGACTATTTTCATTTGGTTGAAACAATTTTGTTTAAGCACTGAAACATTTTCTCTGGTAGTGAAACATCTGAAATATTTTCATTTAAATATTTTTTTATCAACAAGTGAAACATGTGAAACATTCTTAAACAACACCAACACCGTCCGATAATTTGCACAAAATTGGACGTCTGATCCGTAGCAACCTCCAAATACTTCTTAAGCAAATTAAAGATTGGTATAAAATTATTGGCAAAATTTGCTACAGGACACCCCAAAATCGTGTAATTGGCTATGGGACACCGCAAAATCTTGGCTTTGCCCACGGACACTACGAAAGTTGTGAAATTGGCTGTGAGACACCAGAGGCAATATTTTATAATTTCCGAGGCAAAAGAGGTCAGAAAATTTTCTAAATGACCAATCTACCCTTGCGCGCCGCTACCTCTAAGCCTGACTCCATCCCCCCTCCCTCCACAGCCTGATTCCCCATTCCCAAACCTAACCCTAGGCGACGGCGGCGGCGGGGCCGGCGGCGACAGCGGCGGTGGCGGGGCCGGCGGCGGAGGCGGCAGTGTTGAGGACGGCGACGACGGCGGCCTAGTCGGCTTCGGTTGGTGCGGCGATGGACAGCTCGGCGTCATCTTCAGTGGTACGGCGCCGTGGTGGTGGCGAGTTGCCCTTGGGCAAATGTCCATTGTGCCACTGATGGGGATTGTTGGCTCAGAAATGAAGGGAGTTGAAGGAGTGGGACGAATTTTAGTGTACCTTGGAGTTGTGCAAGCTTTATTATTACTGTTGATTTTGGTAGTTGTCATTAGCAAGTAATATGGACTGTAATAGGCAATTTAGTATTTGGAAGCAATGTAATGTTGAACTTATGAATGCCCTGTGGAATTAATGAATGTAGTATGGTTTTCAGATGAAATGCAGCCATTCGAATTTGGTTTGATATGGCATCTGAGCAATTGGAATTTTTGCAGTACTCTGTGATGTTGCTTTGATATGGCATTGAGTAATAGTGCACAGCATTTGCAGTAGTATATGGCATCTGAGCAATTTGGACAACATGTTGACAAAATTTGGCCAGAGAAAAATTTGGACAGCATGTTGGCAAAATTTGGCCAGACAAAAAATTGGACAGCATGTTGGCATCTGAGCAGTAAATGTTTGCTGTCTGAAACATTGGCAAAAAATTTGCCCAGACAGCAAATTGACAGTTTGGCAAAATTTCAGACAGCAAACTGGCATACATCCATACAACAAACATTTACAAGCATGTTGGACAGTAAACAAAATTTTATACAGCAATAATTTAGAAGCCATTCCAGAAATACTCACTGCCATTCCACATCAACTAGTGCCATACATCCAGTGCCACACATGGTACTGCCACTGCCATTAAGCTTGGTCTATACAAAAGCCATACATGAAAGTCTTTAGGCACATTTTGCCTAGCAAATATGAGTAGTACTGCCCATTGGCTCCATAACAAAAGCAGTGCACTTAGCACATAAAGGAGTCCATGCCATTAAAAGCTAACATCAGTGAACATAGCATCCTACATTTATACAAAAGCAAATTTCATGTCATTGAACTTCAGTCTTCAGATGGCACCAGCTGCCTTGTTGCTTGGAGCATCAACATCCAAATTGAGAGCTCTAGCCCTGCTCCTTGTTATTGGGCTTGTTTGAGTTACCCCAGATGCTTGTGATCTTGAAGGTGTGGACCTGCAAAAAAATGAAAATCAACATAAATATGTAGAGTAAATATAGCAAATGTATGGCATAAAAAAGAAATTTTGCTGTTGACAACATACACAGTAGCTGTTGGGACTTGTATGACAGGATCTTGCACAGAAAGCACAACTTTCTTCACTCTTTTTCTCTTGGGCTTTTTCTCTTCCCAGCACACTTCTTCCTTGGCGACATCTTCCTAGCTGCCGCTCGGCCGCCTACCAATATGACAGCTCCATCGGCCACCGTCGTCGTCGCCGTCCTTAACACCGTCGCCAGCGCCGAAACTGCCTCCGCCGGCGCCGCCGCCGCCGGCCCCGCCACTGCCGCCGCCGCCTCCGCCGCCGCCGTCGCCTAGGGTTAGGTTTGGGAATGGGGAATCGGGCTGTGGAGGGAGGGGGGATGGAAACAGCGCCGGCTGGGTCTGGTTCGACCAGACCCAGTCAGGCTTAGAGGTAGCGGCGCGCAGGGGTAGATTGGTCATTTAGAAAATTTTCTGACCTCTTTTGCCTCGGAAATTATAAAATATTGCCTCCGGCGTCTCACAGCCAATTTCACAACTTTCGTAGTGTCCGTGGGCAAAGCCAAGATTTTACGGTGTCCCACAGCCAATTACACGATTTTAGGGTGTCCTGTAGCAAATTTTGCCAAAATTATTTCAGTGCCCATGTTAAATCCCTGGTTGGCAGAAATCATAACGAAATTAAAACATGAGTAGTTGGCGAGAATGAAGTAACTAAAAATGTTTATAACTTGTATCTATAAATTTTCAATTGTACAAATATTTATGTTTGGAGTAGACATGTAGTATACGCAGTACAGTGTTTTATACGGTATTGGGTTGATTTTTATGGGACAGAGGAAGTAGACGTGTAGAGTGCGCAGTACAGTGTTAATTTAGAGCTCCTTGGACAGACAAGTCTGTTGCCGCTTCTGCTTGACTCCTCCAGACCTGCATGGACCCTTGGTTTTAGTGACATGTCAAATTAAGCACACCATCCATGCATCGTACCAGTAAGGCAGTAACTACTGCTGCGCCTCAGTCCCAAACTAAGTATAGTTTTGAATTGTTCCCTAAAATAAATATAGTTTTAAATTGTTCATATCTAACGTTGAACTGTTCATCTTATTTAATTTTTTTTTATGATTAGGATTTTTATTGTTATTAGATGATAAAACATGAATAATACTAATTTTTTATTTTTTTCAACAATTTTTTAAATAAGATGGGTGGTCAAACATTGTACACAAATATTCATAACTGCATTTATTTTTAGACGAAGATAGTACTTCCTCTGTAGTTTAATCTCACCATATATATATATATATATATATATATATATATATATATATATATATATATATATATCCGTTCAAAATCTAAAATGGCTTATAGTGTTAAACCGGAGAAGTATCTACTCCTTGTGTTCTAAAATATAAGAGAATTTCTATGAATAAGACATATCCTAGTACTGTGAATTTGAATAGAAAGCCAGGTTTATAATACTAGAATCTATCACATTCATCCAAAATCTCTTATATTTTAGGGTGGAGGGAGTACTAGTTAGCCATAGCAACGGCGACCAGCCAACCATATGCGTCCGTGCACGACAACGACCGATATACTTACTATACGCCTCACTCTGCATATATCTATTAGAGTTGGTACAATAGCAAACTATAATCCAACTATAAACACATATCGAGAAGATAAAAGATAAGAAAAAGAGTAACAGGATACAGATAAGTAGCCAGCTGCAACATGGACTCCAAAATGCAATGTGTGTATGATAGGTATGACCATATATTAATGCTGTAGTATATTTTGTAGGTAACTATTATATAAATTGACTATTAAATATATTGACTATATGTAAATTGGAGTAGCTAATAGTTGAGCTGTACCCAATTGACTATATGTAAATATATTGACTATTGAACTTGCTCTTATGCATATCGCCTCTATAAATAATAACGACCCAGCACGAAACGCGGGTATAAGATATGAGCAGTGTGCAGATCGTTTGAGCAGCTAGCAACAAATTACAAGAGGGTGGCAGCTAGCTAGTTAGGCCGGATGGCGCGGCTGCAGCGACGACGTCTGGTGCTGGCGCTCCTGCAGCTCGCCGTGGCGCTCTGGTTGGCGGCTACCAGCGGCTGCTTCTGCCGCCAGCCGCCGAGTCCGATAGCCGGCGTCTCGTCGCCGCCGATTCTGCCGGACGGCAACCGGCCACCGAAGTCGCCTCCAGGTGATCAGAGATTCATTTTACCACTACATACATACATACATACATACATACATACATACATGCATGCACCTATACGAAGCTCAAGCTAAATTTCAAAGGCCATTAATTGCGCGCATATATAACTAAGCATATCAACTTTTATATATATATATATATATATATATATATATATATATATTATCTTCCTTTTCAAATATATCTGAATAACATGTCGTTTAATTATTCGTCTTATTTACAAGAACTATATGTAAATGACGTCTATTTCCTCGTGGCTTGTTTTATTATAAGAAATATAAATAACTTGTATTCTTTTAATCTGTATTTAATTTGTGATAATATGAATATCCACACGCCATCATAAATATAAATTCAAAAGCAAAGAGAGTATTCGTTAATCTTATTTTATGCGCGACATAATAATAAATAAATGTGACAATATACTGACGCAGTTTTGCTTTTCCCTTGTTTTGCAGCTCCCGCATCCGCACAACACATGAACCGCTCCTTTCAGCCGGGCTGCCCGCCGGATTGCACCGACCAGCAACGTCAGCCTTAATTAGTTATGGACTATCAACGACGTACGTTCAGCATATATACTCTGGTTGCAAACGTGTTAGTATGTACTCCACTCTGTAAGTTCGTTCCGATTTCAAATGTAATAATGCAAATTTAGCGCATTGTATTCTCAACTACTTGTAAGTATAATTTCTATTTTACTAGTATAAATGTAGGGCCGAGCGATCAGATTGGTACATCTTCAAAAACAATATCCTAGACTTGATTAATTATATGTAAAAACGCTCAAATTAATTACTGCCTCTCCTTTCATAAAAGTTACACCTATTACTTTTATCCAGTGGCGGATCCCGAAAATTGGTTCGTTGGTGTCATAGCGTGTCTATCGGTGTCATAGTATACTAATTATGCTTAGAACATGATGTTATAGTATATGGATAAGCAGTTTTGTTATTGGTTTTGCCGAAAGTCGTCGGTGTCGCCTGACACCGATGATTATACTGTAGATCCGCCCCTGCTTTTATCACCAAAACTTATAAGAAATTGGACTCTATGTCATCTCCCTTCCATGCATCGTGCATATGCAGGCTATGACTATCTCAATGACTCCAAAACTGTACCTGGTGGAACAGTGGGAAATTCAGCACCCATATACATATCCATTAGTTTCCTTCAAACTTCCAACTTTTCTATCATATCAAATGTTTGGATATATGTATGGAGGCATTAAGTATGGATGAAAAAAAACAATTGCACAGTTTGTATGTAAATTGCGAGACGAATCTTTTGATCCTAATTACGCCATGATTTGATAATGTGGTGCTACAATAAACATTTGCTAATTACGGATTAATTATGCTTAATTGATTCGTTTTGCAGTTTGTTTTGTTATTAGTCTACGTTTAATACTTTAAATGTGTGTCCGTATACATCAAAATGTTTTTGCCAAAGCAACTAAACACGGCCATATTTGGTTTGCCGTTGGTGTATTGTGTTAGTTATTATATGCTTATTTTTCAATTTAAGTTTATGCGAAAAATTAAAGCCTACAATTAGTACATATTTTCATGCATGAATCAAAATTACAATGTGCGAAATCCAAGTAATTAACTCCTATAAGTCGCTGGGCTTTCCAATCCCACCCCCCTCAACTTAATTTGTTCAAAACGTACTCCCTATAAATCCACTTACTATTCCAACTTCCCACCTCTCTATCTCTAGTTTTCATTGATTCCTCGTCACACATAGAGATTTCTCGCATCCCATGGATCTCATGATGGTGTCGGTAAAGTTGCTCCTTATATCTTCTCTCCTTTGGAATGAGATTTAATACACCATTTTCTTGTAGCATGTGATAATTATCATGTTTCGTTACCTTACCGTTTGTGGAATTATTAAAGCGTGCAACAGCGAAAGGTGCAAGGAGGATTAGGTGTACACCTTTTGTGGAATTATTAAAGCGCGTGCAACAGCGAAACATGCAAGGAGGATGAGGTGTACAACTTTGGTTTAAAGGGACAACTTTGCAGTTTGCACACCGTGATGGAGGTCCATGGATCATGAGAAAAATAGATAGAGGTGGAAAGTTGAAAAAAATAGGAGTGCACGAAATTAAATTATAAGAAGAGACTGAAAATACTAGTGACTTGTAGGGGTATTTGGATTTTCCCCCAATTACAATTTGATAGAAGATTGAAGTGCACACAGGCCATCCCTAAACTTGCATAGATGTATCATCTAGATCCCTGAACTCTCAACAAATATATTTTTGAGTCGTCGAATTTATCTTTGATGTCATATAGGTCTAAACGGGCTCCAACCTCCTCCGTGCGCCGACGTGGCATGCCGCAATGGAATGTTAGTAGGATCCACATTTTAGTCACATAGAAAAAATAAAATTGAAAAACATCTTTTCTCCTCTTAGGTTATATATGCTAGCAAAGGATATACAGGTATGATCAAATTAACTAGGGATTATCCAGCACAATTTTATATGGTGCTAGATTTTGAGATACAATTAGACAATTCTTATATTTTATTTATAATCATACAACATTATTTCTACAAAATAGAACTTAAACATATAATTGGATTCCGAATACAATATGTAGCTTCTATCTCTTAGATATAATGGTATTTTGTACGCATGCAATTATGATCGATCAATTTGCAACGGTATAATATGGCCCACCAAAGTCTTATGGTTCGAACCCTTTTCTTTTTATCTGAGTAATGTGGAAATTTTTAACCTTCTAAATGAGACGAACGTAGTGACTTCTTTTTGAATTATCAATATAACATAACACTAATGATATAATAGATTATCTATGATGTTGATAGTGCTACGGGGGGTATGCATTATGAATCAACTTGTATCACAATAGTGTGAGAGAGAACAAACTTTAGTCAACCATACATGTACACTTGTGTGAACCACCTGCTGCTGTCAAATCCTGAGTACACTAGTGTTCTGTTTTTTCTTCATTGAGAGCTTTCTGGTTTCTGGCCAAACCACGGAGTTGTGTTGGACGAACATAGAAAATCAAGCACACCAAAAGCTGTCCATTTGTCGTATATATCACTGTCAACGACGACGACGACATCAATCATCAATGGATCGGTGCATGCACTCGATCGATCGCCTCTATCTACAAATCTTTGCAAGTGTGTACGTGCAGACGAGCCGGCCGATGATCCACTGCCACCGATCGAGCAGATGAGCAGGCAGCCAGAACTAGCTAGCTAGGTAGGTGGTGTTCAGCGTTTATTAGCAAAAAAGAAGGCCATAGCGTTTAGCGCGCGTCGGCGAGATGGCGCTTCTGCAGCGACGTAGGCGACACCGTGTGTTCGCCGTCGTTCAGCTCCCCCTGGCGCTGTGGCCAGGGTTGGAAATTTCGGACCGAAATTTCGGTCATTTTGGTCCCCTCCGATACGATATTAGTTTGGCCGAAATTTTTAAAATTTTTAATTTTTTCAAGAATTTGGGTAATATTTGTTTAAATTCAACTAAATATTGTTTAAATTTTGGAAATTTCGGATCGAAATTTCGGGATTTCGGTGACCCCCGATCAAAAAGCCCTAAACCGATATAGTGAAACCCTGACTGTGGCTGGCGGCGACGAGCGGCTACCGGTGTAAGATGGGAGTCGCCCCGCCGCCGGCGGTGGGCCAGCTGGTGGTGGACGGCAGCCGTATTCCGACGAGCCCTCCCTGTGAGCACCGATCATCGAGCTGAGCACTCCGTTTCTTCTTCCTCAGGCCTTTCACAGTTTCACTCATGAATGTGACGAATAGAATTAATTTGTTTTATCTCGTTTTGCAGCTCCACAGGTGCACTGGCCATGGCGCACGCAGCCAGAGCCGGCGCCGACGCCGGTCTGCCCGCCGGAGGGTTGCATCGGCGGCGGCCACCCGTCTGGCCGACAGCCTTAGTTATCAGAGATTTGGAGCAACCAAAGTGTCACTTGGGAAGTCCCAATGGACTACTGTGTGGCTATGATACGTACGTGCACACAGTAGTTTCGTATAAGTATGTAATTATCTGATCTGAATAAATTTGGTGCACGTTATACATCACCAATTTGCATCGATTGAAAGATTGTTATTACTTATTACACTACTACATAATTAATTTTAGTGGAAAAGATCCTCTTTAATTTGTAGTGGATCATAACTGCTCGCATCTGCAAATGTCGCTTCCCATAAACAGCTCAAGGGTCACAAGCAGGCCTTAACAGGCCCGTATGTGAAAATAAGCATATTTTCGCTGGCAGGGCTGTTAAGTGGCCCGCTTGCCACCAGCCTACCAGGCTAGCTTCCCACTCCCTTTTCCACTAAAAAAAAGTGTATCCTCTCTCTCACACACTCTCCTCATACTCTCCTCCATCATCCTCTACTCCTTCCCCATGTCCTCTCCTCTTCCTGTCTCCTCAAATCCAGGCAATGGAAGATGGGAGTGGTGACCACGCGACTGTTAACAACCAAATTTAGTAACATCGGTGTCAGGAAAGAAGATTAGATCAAAGCGAAGTCGAAGGTGGAGATCGAGTTCGGAAACAGAACAGGACTCGACTGGAGTCCAGATCGGCTACGATTAGGATCGGCTGGGTCTGAGTCGGACTAGGTAAGCCGATACAGCCGATTCCGACAATACGACTTGGTGTACAACATCGGATTGAGACGATATAATTCAAGATGATTGCCGCACATGGATAGAGTCCTGAGAAGGCAATTGTATCTATTAATTAGGATGTTTTATGTAATTTCCTTAGAGATATGCTTAAGGCAAAAGTCTGCCGCAAAGACTTATGGTATTTTAGAGTTTGTTAGAGATAGCAGTCGTGTCCGTTATGGACATATCTTGTAATTCTTGGGTATAAATAGACCCGAGCCCTATGTAACTTTTAACACACACGTTCAATACAATTTCGGCGCATCGCCACCCTTTTGATTTAGTTTTGTTTCAACGAGTTCTTGCTTTCAGGTTGAGCTGCATCGGTTTCGATCTTCAACAAGAGGTAAAACTTGTTATGATGGCTTGCGTTCATAAGATTAGTGCTTCCATCCTCATGATACTCTAATCTTGTTTATGTGATTCGTCGAGTTATCATATATCTTACATAATCTCCGGCAATATCGCGGTTTAACCTACGATCGGCTAACATCTATCGAGGAAGGTAGCCGATTAGGTTAAATTCTGACGTTGACTCAGATTATATAAGATATTTACCACTCTATGAAACTTCCAGCGACTTGATTGTCTAGATATTGTTCTTCTTTTCATACTTAATGCTGCATTAATTGAGTTTGATCTATTAAGTCGTGCTTAGAAGATCAATCTCTAGCCTATCTTCTGGTTGCCGATTAGGGTAGCATCAGAGTTTCAGCCGATCTTATCTGATTTAACTATATTTGCTTTATATGCTTCATTGATACGTTAAATTTGCCCTTTAATCAAGATATTGCTATATTTAAATATATTAGGCCTTTGTTTGATATATTATACCTATTTTAATATCCTGATATAGAGTAGTATCGGAGTATTAGCCGATACATGCTAGGTCTATTTGATCGGCTATGCTATAAACATATATAGTCCTGTTGTTAATATATACTTCGATCTAAGTGATTTATACTGTCTCGGCATGGTGACCGATCTACCCCAATCACTTGATTTAAGTATATATCGATATAAGAACTATATATTAGAAATATCTACAGCTGATCGAACAGATTTAGTTCTTTATTGCCTACTTACAACTGCCGATCGATTCATATATGACATCGGCTCAAGGATAAATGATATGTGCTATCATTTATAGATTTAACCGCGGTTTCTTTGCTTCTGTTTCTTGTTGATTACAGGATCAAATCAACTGGCACGCTAATACACCTGAAGGCGAGCTTTGGACCTGCACTGGAGTTAAGCAGATCTCCCAGGCCTCGTGTTTTCTGTCAACACGCTTTTGGCACGCCCAGTGGAACTTGTAAGAAGTCAGCCGACAGTTCCTCCTCATGGCCGAAAAACAACCACCACCACCATCTAGTCCAGGCTCTGTTAAGGAAAAGATTAAGGTTAAAACTGTTAATACACAGTAAAAATACACAAAGAGAAGAACCATATCAGCATAATTAAAATATAGGTTAACATCACTAACAAAAATCTTTACAAATTTGCAAGTCTTCACATAAATCAAGTGTCTACAAAGACGAGATTTTTCACACACAGATCACAACACAATTCGAAAATTGCATGTAAGAATAATGATAAAAGTGATATAACTTTGCGAAAAACATCATGCAAATTACAAAGTAATAAAGGCTTGATAGACTGTTAGCAAATATTAAAACAAATGATTTATGATAACCTGTGATATAAACGTTCGATGGAACCAGCTTTATTACATATATGGATAATACCTTAATTTAAACCAAATTTAAGTTGCACAATTTGCACCTCTGCTACATTAATTTTACATAGCACACTCATATAGCTATATACCTAGGATTAATGCGATTCTAGTTGCAGAATGCAGATTTTCATCCTACTTGTCTCATCAAATACAACCTAGTGTTCTGAGGCAGATCGTCCAAAACAAAGTCAATCAACAAGATAAAATCTCACCTCTTTTTCATAATAAGATAGTAAATTTTCATGTCGACATTAAGGTTAAGCACAACAAAAATTGCAGAACAAAACAACCATTGCATAAATTAATCAAAACAATAGTACCAAATTTAGGTCAGCGTCTTACCAGGAGCACTCCAGTGGCTGCAGGGCAGACAGGGCAACCAGGACGGAGATGGGAGGCGTGGGGAGGCTGCCGGCTCGACGAGTGCACTCTCACCGCCGTGGTTTGGGCAAGGCACAAGCTGTGGGAGGTCGGATGCGGGAGAGAATAGGCTAGGGCTGGAGGCAAGGCGCCGGGGACGAGGGAGACGCCGGGCGCGTGGAGGTTGGGCTTCTCTCGGCGCCGGAGGAATCGGTACGGAAGCGTCGGCGCGGGAGCGATGTGCGCCAGGGGCAGTGACGCCGGAGACGCGAGATGTGACGAGAAGAAACGGATGACGACATCCACAGGAAAAACTAACGAAGGAAAATTAATCCGGGTGAAATTAATTCTCTAATTTAAATGACCAAAAAGACCTTTTCAGACTCTTACCTAATACTAAAACTACCCTTGTATATACTGCTAGTGTATACTAGCAGTAGAATGTACCATAAAAGTCATCTTATAGGATGCCACATGGCAGCCTTAGAGCATTTGTAGCAAGTTTAATGAATTTTTAGCAGATAATAATAGATAGATATACTCGGTTGGCCTCCTTCGGCAAAATGTATTTCTGTGAATAGTCCTGTACATAGTTCCTCGTAAACAATAGCAACAACACCTAATTACTATATCACGATACACAAAGTAAGTTTGGAGCAACTTCAGTAGACTTACTAGGGCAAAGTTCTACAAAAGGAAGAACATAAAGATGATATAGAGTAATAAAAAATCCCTGATTTGCGATAATTTGAAGAGAGCATGTTGCCCAATATCTCTGTTTCTCGTGATGTGAGTATTTATTCGTTTTGCAGCGGTCAGAGGATGTGAAACCACCGTATCCTGTTTTTTCTTGGAATCTAAACAAATACTGGAAATGCAGGACGACAGTGCGCCTAACTGTATTGGGCGTGTCATCCCCCTCGGCTCTAAAGATCCAAAGACGAGGCCTATCTCCTCCTTGTGGCATTTCGACAAACACCTCCGGCTCATCTTGTCAGCAGCTAAACTGCAATCAAATTCCTGAAGTACAAATTGCATTCCCACCAAGAAAACCAAATCAAACACGCACGCTGCCATTGTAGTTCCAAGCAGCATGGATGACAAGGTTGACGGCGAAAAGGTTGTACTTGAATATATCCAAAAAGATTTGCATTTAATCAACATATATCCAAACAGGCACCGACACACCACTGAGCAAAGATTATTACAGAGCCCAGTTAAGGCTGGCAGTAAGAGACTCGTGGTATGATTGAAAATAACAAAGCAGTCAGCTGAATTTTGTTCCATACGAAAAGTGTGAACATCCATGCATGCTTATGCTTCTACCATGCTGGTAAAACATTATGGTACACTGTTCACCTATTGGCATATACTCCTACATAATACAAAGGTGGTAAAGATGGAATGCAGATCTGTTCATCAAATTCAGAGTGATAGAACAGGGGCCTCAATCCCCATAGGGAAAGCAAACACGATCTTGAAGAAGCTTCCAAAAATATGGACTCCTTCCATGTTTTATCCATTTGTGTTTGTAGGCAAAAGCTCAAGAATTTGACATCCTCATCAAAAAGGTTACTGCTGGAAAAACAATACTACATGCACATGAATCCTAAGCTCCATAAGTTGTCATTGTGGTAAAAGCTGTGCTATACTGCTATGGATGTGTCGACACAATTTCCGCCCTTAGGTAAGCTGGACAACGAGGTTTAGGCAGCAGAGCAGTCTGGCAGCTTAACATCAGAACAACCTCCTGCATGGTGGGCCGGTTGGCAGGGTTCTCCTCCACACACAGCAGTGCTATGTGAATGCATCTTAGTATCTCTCTCGTCTCCAATTCATCACCTGAGGGCGAATCGACAAGCTTGATCAATCTTCCTGTTCTCCATAAGTGCCATGACTGAGGAAGTGGGTAAGAAAAACAAAAATTCTCATATAGATTGGCCATTAAATTAGCACTTGGTTGTGCAAGTTAATAAATGATGACAGGGGCACCATTAATATTCAAAATTCGAGACAAATTTCAAAAATTCTACACACCCTCTTGTTCAGAAATCGATAGTCGTCTCCAGAATCTCCACTCACAAGTGAAAAGCATCGCTTTCCACTAATGATCTCGAGAACCAATGCTCCAAAGCCATACACATCAGACTTCGTTGAGAAAAGTCGTCTTTCCCGACATTCGGGAGCAATAAAACCACTAAAATGTGGAAACAAAAATTAAGAGCTTAAACAATAAGAAGGATAAAAGAGCCCGCTGGGATATCAAAAATTGTGATATTGATCTGATAAGTTCTTACATTGACCCCAGTATGCGATCGGCGTACTCTTCATCTACACCTGGACTATACCTTCTAGCCAGGCTAAAATCGGAGATCTTGGGATTCATGTTGGAGTCCAGAAGAATGTTGCTTGGCTTCAGATCTCCATGTACAATATGTAGTCCGCAGTGCTTATGGAGATAAAGCAGTCCCTCAGCTATCCCATCAATTATCCGAGAGCGTGTAGACCAGTCCAGATGCAACCTTCTTGTTCTTGCACCTATAAAATGGAAACACAAATGAGATCATTAACTAAGCATAGTCTGCACAGAACTTTTGATCCAAAATTGAGGTGAAGTAATACTGAACACATGCCAAAGATGAAGGTATCAACGCTTCCAATCAGCATATACTCATAGACCAAAATCCTCTCTGTTCCCTGAATACAGTATCCCAGAAGCTTAACTACATTGGTGTGCTGAAGCTTCCCAAGGAAGCAAATCTCATTTTGGAACTCCAAATCTTGGAAATCCATTTGATTACGTGAACAAGGTAACTCAAAACATCTTTTAACAGCTACCTCAAGCCCATCGTGCAGTTGACCCTGACTGCAAACAAAAAGTGCAGTTGACCTAAAGAAGAAACCAATTATATAATAATGAAGTTTCTAAAGTTACAACACATTCCATTGTCGTTTGATAGCTATGATTTTTGCAATATCCTCAAAGATTAATTAGGATGAATTGGAATCACAGTAAACACATGAATAACAGTAGGAAAAGCAAATGATCTGTTTCTTATGATATCAAAGTATGGAAACTGAATTTTGTGAAGCAAGCATATTCATTACTCCTCCGGACAAGATAAGGTGGTTCCTTTTTTACTTTGCAAAGTCAATAAGAAGTCACTTCAACCAATTAATTTTTCTTGGCTTGTCTTCATTGAAGATGTATATGAAAAAAAATAATCATGTTATTTTGGTAAATCCAAATTACATATTCTAGATATATGTCTCACTAAAATGAATAGAAGATGATTGAACGCAAATCTAGGATGACATTTTTTTTTTCTATTGAAGAGAGTACCTTGTAAACACAGCCAAAGCTACCTTGTCCAATTTTATTTCCGTCGGAGAAGTTTTCTGTAGCATCAACTAACTGGGACAAATAGAACTTGACAGACCCTGTTATGAAATAAAGAGTTTTGGGACACACAACATCATTCTATTTGGCACCCATCGAACTCTATTGTCTCCCTTCATTCTACTGTTTAACGGGACATACCTGTACAACATGATTGCAGTGAGCACCTTTCAACTTCACAATGTGCTTCAATCCTGCGGTGGCAACATTATTGTGACTATTTACGGAAGAAAATGTAGCCTTTGGATATTAAAGATCCATGTCGAAAGGGTTATAGATGCCATAAAATTTTTACATGGATCTTTCACTGAACAATTTCACTTAAGTAGGACACTGGAAACCATTTAACAAAATTCTGAATTATGTGACAGACTATAATTATTATGTATCTATTGTGGACCAGAGAATCTGAAGTCTCACCATGGATGTAAACTACCATTGGAGCTTTAAATTCAAGGAATGCCACATCCCACTGAGAAAAAATGGCAACAAGAAATGTGTTCACAAATCTCACCTGGCATCAGGAGGGAAGCTCAAGCAACCAGTAGAACTAGATGTTGCATAAACATTAAACAGCCTTGGCCCCCCTTTTACAGCCTGAAGTTTCTTAATAGCAGAAAAGGTGCATTAATAACCTTTATCATATCAGTGTGCCGATACTTCTGGATCCATGGATAAGTGAAGTAGTACTAGATTACTAATGTGTAGGCATGAAAGTAATGATGAAAATTATCAGTTTTTTTTCCTGTTAGGAACAAAGAGGAATGATGGGGTAATTTTGTTGTTTTCAAGTTTTAACCATGTTTAAAGCATATGTTAGGAAAGAACACCCTACAGGAGCGACTGGCGGCGGGGAGGGCGACGGCGATGGCAGGGGCACGCCGCGCTGGGCGGCGGTGGCTGAAGGTGGAGGGGATGGCGATGGCGGCGGGGACGAAGTCGGCCGAGGGCGTGGAGGCGGCGGCGGCGGTCCCGTGGCGGCAACGGCGCGGTGCCCAGCGGCGACGGCGGCGGTGTCCCCCAAATCCACGCCTCTCGGCCGGATCTAGAGGGTGGCTAGCGGCAGTCGCGGCAGGTGGCTGCGGTGTCGACTGGCGACGGCGGTGGAAGACATGGCGTCGAGGCGGCTGCTAGCTGCTCGGTGGTGGAGGGTGACGACGCAGTGGCGGTTTGTGGAGGCAGTGGCTGGTGTCGGTGGCAGTGGCGACGGCGGCCATGACTGTGGAAGCGGTGGTGATGTCGGCGTCGGGGAAGGAGTCGGGTGCGAGGTGAGGATGGCGACGGTGAGGTGGCTGGGTATTCGGCAGCAGCGGCTGTGGTGGTGGTGAGCGTGTCTGCGGTCACCGGAGGCATGGCGGCCTCGGTTGACTAGCCGAGGGCATGGGAGACGGCTGCATCTGGCCGGCACGGCATCGTTCGGTGGAGGGGTCGGAGACTGGCTTGGTGCAAAGAAGTGCAGCCGATGGCACCGGAGGCCGGCTCGGCGCGAGAGGCGCGGGCGGCGGAGATGGAGGTCGGCTTGGCGCGAGAGGCGCGGCCGATGGAGAGAGGCCGGATTGGCGTGAGAGGCGCGTCCAGTGGAGGAGGCCGGCTTGGCGCAGAGAGGCGCGGCCAGCGGTGGAGGAGGAGACCTAGGTGTGAGGAGCTGCCGGTGGGTGTGACGCGGCCTTCGGTGCGCGAAGGCTAGCTGGCGGGGGACGCCGGTGCAGGGGTCCCACATGTCGGCAAAGCTTGTGTGGTGGTGGAGCATCGATGCGTCAGCCGTGGTTTCGCAGGTGGTGAGAGGCGGGTGAAAACCCAGTCTAGCCTTGGCCAGACCGACAACGATGGTTATTCCCCCTCCTGAGGCGTTGTTGTGCTGTCTCTCTCCTCAAGGGTGATTGCTGGTCGAAAGCCCAGTCTTGGCTCTTTTGAGTCCCGACGGATGGCGGCGGCGGTTCTTCCGTATGGCGCGATCTCGTCTGTGTCTCTTTGTTGGTCTAGTGGCGGTCGGTCACGCTTAGCGGCGGCCGGTCCGGTGCTAGTCTTTTCCTGGGCTTGTGTGTTGGCGATGTCGGTGTGTGGGTGGTGGTATATTTTTTTCTTTTTCCTGGTTACGACCCTCCATGGTTGTAATCTTGTAATTTTTTCCGGCTCTATCCATAGAACTTCGCACCGTCTCGTGCGAGTCGTTCAAAAAAAATTAGTGGTTAGACTACAAGGTGAAATGAGCAATTGCCCCTTCTTATATTGGAAGGAACACACTAAAAGTCTAAAACTATATACTCTCTCTGTTACAATTTACTTGTCATCCAGGCAAATACCGTGCAAACCATGAAGATGTGAAAGATTACATGGTTACCCTTGTCAAATAGTACTCCCTCCATACTCATAAAGGAAGTCGTTTAAGATAGCGACACGGTCTCCAAAACACAACTTTGACTTCTTGTTTCTATAAAAATGTTTATTGAAAAATGATATACGTATATTTTTATGAAAGTATTTTTCAAGACAAATATATTTATATAATCTTTACATTTTCAAACTCAACAACTTTAGAGTTATTCATGATTTATATTCCCAAAGTTTGACTTGAACATTGTCCTAAACGACTTCCTTTATGAGTATGGAGGGAGTACATCTTAATTAATTATCTTTTCAAAGCAGATGAGCCAATTATGACCGCATCAATATGTATTGCTACATTACTATAGGTAGGGAGGGAATAATATCAATCACCTTTAAAAGTTCTTTGGATCGTGAAAACGACAAATAATTTAATACAAAATTAAATCCTAGAACGACGGTGATGAGCAATATGAAACAGAAGGAAGAACATGAATAAGCAGTGCACATTCTAGTTGTTCATGCCTCTGCTTAAATCCTTCCATGTCCTTTCTCCATTTGAGTTATGCATGTCCCGGCGACATAGGAGGATTGTGTCCCCCGTTTGGGCCGCCTGAAATGTACTCATATTAAGTATGGACTTGAAGAGTTGGAGTGACATCAATTCCAATTAATCGTATGTACAAAAGAAAATAATATTCACTCTGGTTAAAAATACGCGTCCTTTTGGTTTTCAAGAAAGGTAATGTATTTTCTAATGTAAAATTTAGTATCCTTAAGTACATCAGTTACCTAGAGATATTAGATGGGGATAAACGAAGACGATGACCTGAGGGAGAGAGGGGACCGACCTGAGAGGTGATGAGCAGCAAGCGGCCAAAAGCTCCATTGGATTTGTACCGTCATCTAGGTTTGGAGCCCGCGACAACAGCGAGGTTGAGCGAAGAACGGCCTGGCAACGTACGGCTCTCCTCTTGTCGCTGCAGCCACCGCCTTCCTTGACGTCTGTTCTGTCACCACCGGCGTTTCTTCGATGGCGGCGGCAATAGAGCGCGCAGCAGCAGCTGTTGACAATGGCGACGAAGAATGCAATGGCGGCGCTCAGCAATGGCGGCGGCAGTGTAGGACGTTGCTGGGGCAGTGCTCGGCGATGGCGGTGGCGGAGGAGTTGGAGGCAGAGGTGGCAGTGCGATGAGGAGGCGTAGGCGGCGCTTGGCGGCAGGGGGGGGGGTGTGTGGAGGCGGCGGCGCGACGGGGAGGCGGCAAAACTAGCGACAGGGACGGTGTGAGGGGAGGTGGAGGTGGCGGCGCGGGAGAAGTAGAGGGAGTGGGAGTGGGCGGCAGAGGCTGTTAGAGTCATATTTGTATTGGGTTCGGTTTCCTAATTATCTCCTGATTCTGTTCCTATAAGTCGGGTAGAGATACGGGTCCACCGTCCCTATATATGTTCTCTATCCATGATCAATCTATTATCGTGTTGACTTATACGCTTTCATGGTATCAGATGCTTTTAGCTTCGGCCTCCAACTCTAAATCTCGCACCGCGCCATGCGCTCCTCTGCTGTGCACGCTTCTGTCGCCGCTGCCGCAGCCGCCGCCGCCGCCGCCGCCGCATGGCTCCTTTGCCATGGCCAACAACGCTCCCCATACCCCCTCTCCCGCAATTGAGGCCACCACATCTGTCATCACCAAGGCAGTTCGGGATGCCTTCCAACCCTCATCTAGGGTTAATGTCGACCTAGCCATAGCCGCCTCCGTCGTCGACACGGCGTCCACCACTGTTGCCTGCGCCACTAGGAAAGCCCTTGCCTCTTTCATCGAGAAGCTGGTACTGACACCTCCATCGCCGGCAACACCCACCACGGCGGCAACTCTTCTTCCTCGGCCGCGACTGCCACCATGACGGCTGCGACGATGTCTGCCAGGCTCTTCACCACTGCCCCCGCAGGCACGACACTGCCGCCGACCTCTCTCCCACTACCGCCGGAGCTCACGGCCATCCTTGCCACCGATGGCCTCTACGGCACCTCCGACGCCTTTGCATCCGCTCTGCCTGCTCAGGACGTCTCTGCCTTCTTCATCACGCCCAGCGCTACATCGGCAACACTCCCTCTACTGGGTCTTCCTCCTCCGGCAGCCGGTGCACCACCACCACCTCCTCCCGGCTACGGTGGTTTCATCCCTCTGATGACCGGTGCTGCTCCTTCTGCCCCTACCGCCTAGAACTTCTACAACGTCGACCTCGACGACGACGCCACCGCCAATCTCCACGCTCAGGCAGTCTTGGTGCTGAACATCAAGTCTCTCGTGCCCGTCACCCTCGATCTCAACTTCGGCAATGGTGTGGTCTCATCCTCGTCACCCTCGAGAAGTACGTGCTCGCCGATCATGTCCTCACCAACCTCTACAGGCCGGATCATCAAGATTGGATGCGCATGGACTGCGTTCAGGGCCGGCCCTAGGCCTAGGCGGGTTGTGCGACCGCCCAGGGCCCAGGCCAGCAGGGGCCCATCAACCCCCACCCCCACCCCATTCCCCCTCCTGCTGCACAGGCCTTGCAGGCCACCCCGCAGCCCAGTTGGCGTAGCGTGTGCGATGCAATTAGTAGGGAAGGAGAGTAGGAGATGCGAGAGTGCGACGTAATCGAAGCGACGCATCATCGCGCCGGTTCGTTCTCTGTGCTTGTTGTTCCTCCTGACGATAGCCGACGCGACGACGTCAACGCCAAATGATGCCCCCACACAGTGAGTCCGCGACGCGACGCCGACGAGCGAGGGCAACTGACGACGGCGTGACCGCAAGTGTGATCAGTCACAACTCCGGAGTCCGGAATCTCTACTCCGGCAGAGACGGCAGCAGCAGGCGCTAGCGCTCCCAACGCCCTAGCCTCCATCCAGGCAGGCAGCCAGAAACCTAATCGTGACTGGTGAGGACTTCTAATGATTTGATTTTCTCTTAATCTCATTTGCCTCTAACCATCTATTTAGACTGTGACTGGTGAGGACTTCTAACTAGGTTAGGGTTTTGTTTTGTGCAAAAATTAGGTTAGGGTCTTGTTTTGTTCCTGTTGATATAGTGCAATAAACTTCTAATGATGTTCTTGTTGTTTACTTTAGTTGGAAATTTCAGGCGTCAGAATGTTGCGTCAGAAATGCTTGAAGCAGAGATTTTTATGAGAGGTATTGTATATTTGCAGTTTCATATTTAAGGTATTAATAATCATACTATTTTGTTTCTACAATTCTTTTAGTTGTTTATTATACTATCAGCAATATTTATTAAGAATAAAATACCATATCGCAATTTGCATTGTGTAATTTACTGTTCAGTAGTGTTTATTAATGTCACTTTATAAAAAAAAATGATTTATAGAGTATATATTACAAATAAAAAAAATTAGGGCCTATAGCGTCGAGTTTGCCTAGGGCCCTCGAAATTATAGGACCGGCCCTGACTGCGTTGTAGTTCTGTGGCTCTACGGCACCATCTCCATCGACTTACTGGAGTCCGTGATGACGCACAACACCACGGCTCGCATCGTGTGGCGTGGCCTCAAATATCAGTTCTTGGGCAACCGCGAGTCCAGCGCTCTCATCCACTCCACCGAGTTTTACATCTTCTACCAAGATGATTTGAGCATCAACGACTACTGCTGCCTCTTGAAGACCATGGCAGATGACTTGGGTGATGTGGGCGACCGCACTCTTTCCCTAACTGCAATACAAGATTTGAATGAAAAATTCGGTCACCTTCTGCTCAACTTCCGAAGTACATGCTCAACTTCTGCTCGAAGATCTGACGAAGGGTCGTCCTCGCTAAGCTTCTACTGCTCTCCTCGCCGGCACTGGAGACCGACCTTCCACTTCCGGGGGGGGGGGGTGCCGTTAGGAAGCAAGCCCGCACACTCCACTGGCTATGGCAACGCTGGAAATCGTGGCAACAACACCAGTCGACATGGAGGTAACCCGCAACCGTCGCTGCAACAACAACAACAGAGGACAACAGCAGCAACCGCCCCAGCAGTACCAACCACCCAGTAGCAGTGGCCAGTCAGCCAATTGGCCCTCGGCACTCAACCCGTGGAACGGTACGCTCCAGATGTGGCCGGCATTGGTCGATTTTGCTCCTTCCCGCGTCAACTACCCTAGCCTCCTCCGTCCACCGCTGCCCAAGAACACGCGCATTGTCAGGGGCTTCCTCGGCTTGGCGGGCTACTACCGTTGTTTCATCCGCAACTTCGACACCATTGCCGCGCTCCTCACAGCGCTGCTGCGGAAGTAGGACTTTCACTGGACTAACGCCGCGACATCGGCGTTCCGGCAGCTACAACACGCACTCACGGCAGCCCCAGTCCTCCAGCTCCCGGACTTCGACAAGGAGTTCATCGTGGAGTGCAACGCGTCGGGCTCCGGCCTAGGCGCTGTTCTTCATCAAGGCACCGGCCTGGTGGCATTCTTCAGCAAGCTGACTGCGTCGCGCCACGCCAAGCTCGCTGCCTACAAATGCGAGTTGATTGGCCTCGTCCAGGCGGTCCGCCATTGGCGGCCATACTTATGGGGGCGCCGCTTCCTCATCCGCACGGACCACTACAGCTTGCGCTTCCTCTTGGATCAGCGTCTCTCCACTGTTCCACAGCATCAGTGGGCATGCAAGCTCCTCGGGTTTGACTTTGGCGTGCAGTACAAGTCGGGAATGGCGAACTTTGTGGCGGACACGCTCTCCAGACGGGACGAACACCTAGCGGAGGTGTTCGCCTTATCGGCGCCCCAATTCTCCCTGTTCGATGAGCTGTCCCGCGAGGTAGCCTCCACACCCACCCAGTTCCCCATTCACGAAGACATCGCCAAGGGTGCCAAACCGCCAGCCTGGGCGTTCACAGACGGCCTCATCACATTCAAGGGCTGCGTCCTCGTGCCGCTGTCGTCCGCATCATTGCCGACCATCCTCGAGCCGGCGCATGGCTTGGGACCTGAAGGAACACAAAATGATGGAATAAGCCTTGTGGTCTTTGGTCTTTGTGGTCCTTCCCTTGCTTTTAGGTTGTTTTTCTCCTTTTAGGATAGCATCCTTTCAGTTTTGCTTTTAGTATCTTTCAGTTTTACTTTTAGCATTTTAGTACAGCATCTCTGCTAGCATCTCCTTTATGCTTTATGCTTTCAAATTTTGAATTTTAGACTAGCTTGCAGCCATCCAGCCAGCTATGGCTATATATATATCATATATGTATCCAACCTCCCCCGGGACGGCATGGCTTTGAGTTTGTGAATGGAAGAAAACCAGAAAATTGCCCATCTAGAGTGCCATCCTCTTATCAATGAGAGTAACCATTGAAATAATAACATCTGGTATCAGAGCTACACTTTCCTGTAGACTAAATATCTCGTGTTCCTCCCCTTCCCAAGTTCGAGGGAGCATTCAGCCAGCTGCTGCAGCAGCACCGGCTGCTCCTTCCCCTTTCCCTTCCACTTCTCCAAGAAGCAGCCCCCGGAGGCGTGCCATGTCCGACGTACGGTCTCGGCGTTCGGTCGCCTCGAGCCCTCGGCGTCAACAGGACGTCGAGCTCGCCGCAGCAGAAGAGCGCAGGCGAGCAACGGCTCAGACCGCTGCAGCAGCAGCGAGGGCGGCCATATTGGCGGCAGCGGAGTTGGCAGCGGCCAGGGCAGAGGCGGAAGCAGAGGAGGCAGAAGATGCGGCACGTGCGGCGGAGGTAGAGGTTGACACGTTGCGCAGCAGCATCAATGGCTCCATCGCCGGTGACATCACCGCCGACAGGGAGCTTGAAGAGCTGGCAAGAGGAAGGGCGCGGGAGCGGGCAGAGCGGTGGGCAGCAGCCCACCCCACGGCGGCGGCGGCCCAAGAGACCGCGCGCCCGCCGACGGGAACCCGAGCGGGCGCGGGCGTGCCGGCGGCAGCCCGGAGCACGCGCGCGGCGACGGTGCTCCCAGTGGAGGTGGCTGGTTCGACGGAGAGCGCGGCCCTCGCAGGCAACGCGGCTCTCCCTCCCCTAACCGGCGACATGACCACCACGGTGTCCAGACGGTGGTCAGGGACCTTGGTCCCGGTGGTGGGTGGCCTACCCTCTACAAAACCAACTACATCGAGTGGGCGGCGGTCATGAGGGTGAGGCTCCAGGTGCGGTACATGTGGGAGGCAGTTCAGTACGGCAACAGCGACTACGACGAGGATCAACGACCGCTGGATGCCCTCATCGCCGCAGTCCTACCCGAGTTGCAGTTCTCGCTTTCTCAGAAGCGGACTACCAAGGAGGCCTGGGACGCTATCGCTGCGGCACGCATCGGCAGCGATCGCGCCCGCAAGTCCACACTGCAGGCACTCCGCAAGGAGTGGGAGAACCTGGCCTTCAAGCCAGGTGAGGATGTTGATGACTTTGCCCTCCGTCTCAACACTCTTTTGCAGAAGATGGTGCAGTATGGCGACGACACCTACGACGAGGAGAGAGCCGTCGAGATGAGCCACAGCCTCTCTCAAGGCCTATCACCACTGGGGGGAGCTCCATCTCACTCAAGAGCAGTGGGAGGCCAGCCAGGGAGACGGGAGGAAGGGGGAGTCATCTCCCCTGACAGGCGGCCGCAAGCCGCGCAAGGCGCGGGGAGGTGTCCAGCTACGGTGGGCGCGGAAACGCGCCGAGGGTGGCGCTTGCAGAGGCACCCAAGGCGGCGCCGCCGGCAACCACAAGCCGGCACGAGACGACGCCTGCCGCAACTGTGGCAAGCTTGGCCATTGGGCCAAAGACTGTCGACAGCCACGACGCGGCCAGGCCCACGTCGCACAGGCGGAGGAGGAAGAGCCGGTTCTGCTCCTAGCACACGCAAGCATCGAGCTACCTCCAGCGGCACCGGCCGCAATAGCTTTCCTCCACCTTGATGAGCCAAAGGTACTCCTCTCCCTCTGCAACGGCTCTAGCGACGACAAGGCTGATGGGTGGTACCTCGACACCGGCGCAACCCATCACATGACCGGCCGACAGGAGTTCTTCACCGAACTTGACTCCAGCGTCCAAGGCTCTGTCAAGTTTGGGGACGCCTCCGACGTGGAGATCAAGGGCGTTGGCTCCGTCACCTTCACTGCCAAGTCCGGTGAGCACAGGCTGCTCACCAGAATCTACTACATCCCTGCGTTGAGGAACTCTGTCATCAGCGTGGGGCAGCTGGATGAGAACGGCTCACGCGTGTTGGTCGAGCACGGAGTCATGAGGATTTGGGATCGCCGTCGTCACCTTCTTGCCAAGGTAACCAGAGGCACCAATCGACTCTACATCCTCAGTGTGCAGGTGGCACAACCGGTGTGCCTCGCCGCTCGTCGGGACGACGAGGCGTGGCAGTGGCACGAGCGCTACGGGCACCTCCACTTCGAGGCCCTGAGGTGGCTCAGTGCCAAGGAGATGGTGCGAGGCCTGCTGTGCCTTGACCATGTGGAGCAGCTCTGCGACGTCTGTGTGGTAACGAAGCAGAGGCGGCTCCCCTTTCCCCAGCAGACGAGCTTCCGAGCTAAGGAGCGGCTCGAGCTCGTGCACGAGGACTTGTGTGGCCCAGTGACACCGGCCACACCAGGAGGACGACGTTACTTCCTACTGCTCGTCGACGACCTCTCCCGCTACATGTGGGTGATGGTCCTCGGCAGCAAGGGAGAGGCTGCGGACGCCATCAGGCGTGCGCAGGCTGCTGCGGAGGCGGAGTGCGGCCGCAAGTTGCGCGTGCTGCGCACCGACAACGGCGGTGAATTCACGGCGACTGAATTCGCGTCGTACTACGCTGATGAGGGCATTCAGCGCCACTACACCGCGCCGTACAGCCCGCAGCAGAACGGTGTCGTCGAGCGGCGCAACCAGACGGTTGTGGGGATGGCTTGGGCTCTCGTCAAGCAGAGGGGGATGCCGGCCATCTTCTGGGGAGAGGCGGTGGTGACGGCCGTCTACATCCTCAACCGCTCGCCTACCAAGGCCCTCGACGGCAGGACACCGTACGAGGCTTGGCATGGGCGCAAGTCGGCGGTCTCCCACCTGTGGGTCTTCGGCTGCCTCGCGTTCGCCAAGGAGCTTGGCCACATCGGCAAGCTCGACGATAGGAGCACCTCAGGGGTGTTCATCAGCTACACGGAGGGCTCGAAGGCCTACCGCATTCTCGACCCGGAGACACAGCGTGTGCGCACGGCGTGCGACGTAGTGTTCGACGAAGGGCGAGGGTGGGCATGGGACAAGGCGGTGGACGATGGTTCGACTCCAACATACGAGGACTTCACTGTCGAGTACGTCCACTTTGAGGGAGCTGGGAGAGTAGGCAGCTCTTCTTCACCGAGCGTGTCTACCCCAGTCCCCGAGCCACCACCGACTCCTACACCGACACACCCTCGAGCCACGACTTCGACTACAACGAGCTCTTCGCTGACACCACCACAGCCGGCGACCCCATGCACTCCAGCACCAACAGCCACTCTTCCGGGCACGTCCACTCCGACGCCAGCTCGCGTTGAGCACAGCCCAGTGGAGTTTGCTACTCCTCTCTCCCACAACGAGGAGCGCATCGACGCGTACCACGACGGCGAGCTGCTGCGGTACCGTACGATGAAGGACCTCCTCGGCGACCAGCTAGTGCCGGGACTGGTGCCTCGCGACCTGGAGGCGCAGTTGCACCTTGCGTGCGACGACAGTGAGCCTCGGTCTTTCGTAGAGGCCGAGGGACACGCGGCATGGCGTGCCGCGATGCAGTCGGAGATGGACGCGGTTCAGGAGAACCGCACCTGGGAGCTTGCTGACCTCCCTCGTGGTCACCGCGCGATCACCCTTAAGTAGGTGTTCAAGCTAAAGAGGGATGAAGCCGGAGCCATCGTCAAGCACAAGGTTCGCTTGGTGGCATGTGGTTTCGTGCAGCAGGAGGGGATCGACATCGACGATGCCTTCGCCCCCGTGGCACGGATGGAATCCGTGCGACTCCTCCTTGCGCTGGCTGCTCAGGAAGGCTGGTGCATCCATCACATGGACGTCAAGTCGGCGCTTCTGAACGGTGAGTTGAAGGAGGAGGTCTATGTGCACCAGCAGCGGGGTTTCGCGATCCCCGGCAAGGAGGGCAAGGTGCTACGCCTGCACAAGGCCCTCTACGGCTTGCGGCAGGCACCGAGGGCACGCTCAAGGGGATGGGCTTCGAGCAAAGCCCGCACGAGGCGACCATCTACCGGCAGGGCAATAGAGGAAATGCCTTGCTGGTGGGTGTCTACGTCGACGACTTGGTGATCACCAGCACCAAGGATGCGGAGGTGGCGACGTTCAAG